GTGAAAGATTAGCATGTTGACTAATAGAAGAAGCACAATAATTTTTTGTAAAATTTCAAAGCTTCTAATTTGATAATGTTATCGACAGTGCTCCAAATATCCCTTGAGATATAAAGACCTATGATCTTATTATGGTTTTGTCGAACTATTATTTGTGTATATAACAAACGAGTGTTACAATCTCCAAATCAGACTTATTACTCTCAAGAAACCATAAAAGTTCTTCTTGAAGAAAATTCTGATTTAATTTTTTCTATAATTTACTCTCCAAATAATTCAACTTTGTTATAAATTATGATACAATTCTATTTCGATACCATGTAGTTGAGAAAGAATGTGATTCTTGCGGTGAAAAATATTCTCAAAAACTTTATCATTAAACTTAAATGCATCATCTTTTAAGTGCAATGCAATAAACTATCTATTAAAGAATAATTACCTTTATTCCAAGTCTAACGAACTACATAAGCAAAATTTTTATAGTAAATCAAGCTACATGAAAATGAAAAGGGTGTTAAGTGTACTTTTGAAGCTTTGGAGAAGGTCAAGTGGTGGTAAGAATAAACACAATTGAGGGTCTCTATGAAAGCATTAGGGAAAAGATGTCTACACTTAACATTTGTCAATGTTCAATCTAATCTTTTAGAGATTTGTGAAATTTATTAACCTTTCCAGACCCTGTAAAATATGCTCCTTAAAATCTTACGCCTAGAAGGCATGGGCTAAAGAGAACTTCAGTGGAAAAGATTATGTCACTATAATCACCAATCAAAAGTCAAAGTGCTTTAATGAAGCCTCAAATCGAAGAGAGATGAGTCAAGAATTGATCTATATCATAAGGGATAAGGTTGACATGAATTGCACTCAGGAACCAAGTTGTCTTGCTGCTACCTAGCTTAATGGTAACGACCTGATTCGTAAGATCAACCACAACAATGTTATGATTAGAAGTTATCTCCTTCAACACTTATATTCTACCTACACGATCATGGGCCTTTGAAATACCTATTGGTTCATAACCAATTTGTTGTCACCTTTTACACATTCTTTGGAAAAAGCAAAGAGTTTCAACAAAAATACAAAAAAAAAAGATGATGTCTATGAACCAACTCCTTCATGCTAACCAAAGAGGAAGAGTACAAGTTACACATAAACCATAGCATTAGCGTTCAAGTATTTCATTTTAAGATTATCTATATTTAGTATATCTGTAACACCCTAAATTTTGGTAATATTAATTATTGTTATTTATATAAATTTAAATGCATATATATGTGTGTATTTTTGGATATATGTTGTGGATATGTATATATATATATATGTGTGTGTGTGTGTGTGTGTGTGTGTATGCATAATTGGTTGGGCTGAAAATGGGCTAAGTGCAGGGTGTAATTTTGGGTTGTCCTCACTGCAGCGAGAGGATTCTCGTTGTAGCAAGAGGGCCTTGGAAGGAAAGGCTGAAACTATCACCTTCTCGCTGTAGCGAGATAGTGATAGTTTGTAATGCATTTCTGGGTGCAGTCTTGCTGTAGCGAGATTCTGCAGAAACCAGGGTGCAGTTTCGTCTGATATTTTCACTGCAGCGAGAGGAGTGTCGCGACCAGAAAAGAATTTAAAAGGGGTTAGGGTTCGAGGAGGGTTATTTCTCCCTCTCCCTTCAAATTCCCTTCAGATCCTCTCATTCTCAAACTTTTTTCTACTGATTATATTTCCTCCAAAGCCGTTCGGAAGCTTAACTGAAGGTTAAATCCGTGTGAGAAATGCTTGGAGGTGAGTTTTAATGATTAAGGTTTCTGTTTTTCAACCCCATTCTCTGTTTTTGTGGTTTCCTTGGGTTCTCACGGAATTCTTCTGTGTTTAGGCCGCAATCGGTGTAGGGAGCACGTCCGTGGTCAAATTCGAGTGTGAGTCTTCAATCTGAGGTAAGGAGGGACTCTACCTATCTCAAACGTGTTATAATTCTTGTGTGTTTTATTAATTAATGCAATGTGGTTGAGATAGGGAGTAGAAATCATGTGTTTGATGGAAATTGGTGTGCAATGTGATGTGTGCTAGAATAGTTAGGCCTTGTGGGGGAAATTGTGTATGATGGAATGCCAATGATTGGTGACTTAATGATATTGTGAATAAATGAAGGCTATGTGTCGTATATTGTGGATAAAATGTGGGCTATGTGTCGTGTAATGTGAATTGAATGTAGGTTGTGTGTCGTGTGTAAGCATGAATATTTGCGTGTGTGAATGAGGCGTGTTAGCGCTGTTGTAATGTGCTGTGAATGGTTCAGTGATACACTAAGGGTGTGGAAGATGAGGATGATAGAAATACCTTGGGGAAGAGGGAGTGGTGGTGACACCGACTGTGGAAAGAGTGCACCACGGGCCACACATTCTCTTCCTGACTAGACCTTTGACTACTATCTTTGTTGAGCGACCCGTGACTGCACACGTGGTATCTGTGAGGCGGGGATAACTGACGACCATTCATGGTGTAAATCTATGATCACAGTGCCACAGTGAGTGTGGCTGGCGTGCATGTGCATGGGTTTATGACTTGTACTTATGGATGTAAAATGTTGTCTGTGATTGTATTTGTTTAATGTGTTGGAGGTGAAACTCTATGCTGACTGTGTGTTTTTGCATAGTATAGAGTACTCACCCTTACATTCATTTTTCAGGTAACCAAGATGATCAGCACCAGACTCAGTGAAAGGGGTGGATGGAACTGTTATAGGACTAGGATATAAATTTAAAAATAATGTATTTAAAAAGGGTCCTGTAGTAGTACTTGATGAAGATTGTAACCATTTTTCTTATTTTGAAATATTTGATGAAACTATGGGTTAAGAACTTTATTTGAAATGGAACTTTTATTATCTCGAAATTATGAAATTATTATTTAATGAATATTGAAAATAATATGTTACAATACCTCTCGAGTAGGTTTCACTACTTGTTTCTTACACAAAAACATATTTATTCCTTATCACATGCATTAAGGAATGTGTTGTTTTTACCTATTCAAAAAATTCTTAACATAAGACATTGAAAGTTCCTTCATGAAACCTTTCTGCTTCTGTTGGAAAGTCATTGCATGCAAGTAGGTGGATGGTTTAGAGTTTTAAATAATTGAATTTTCAGGTTTCTAAAATATAGTGATATCAATATGATGATGTTTTTCCTTTGAATTGATCTTCACTCATTTAGAGTGCTCTTGAACACATTATTTGTTGTGACGACTTTCATAATATTTTCTTTTAGAACATGTAAACATTATATTTGCAAATCATTCTTGATTTTCAATGTTGTCTTTATTTTTTGGCACATTCTTTTTACTTGTCCTCCAAATCCTATTTGGTGCAATCAATCAAGTTTCATGTGCAAGCCCCAATTCTTAAGAAATTATCAATTTTTGTTCTTGTGATTAACATTTACTGGATCATGATTAACAACTTTTGCATCATAATTCTTACCGTCCTAAATGACATTAGGATTAATTGCTTCATTTTCTTCTATAAGTGAAGTAATCTTAGTTGAATAGAAGTATAGAATAGTGTCCGTAACAACTGCAAGTGGAACAAATAATATGCACACTTTAAATCATACTCAACATTATACAAATACTAATGCAACTAACCTTATAAACAACAAAAAGATTGAGATCAATTTTAATATAAGCACGAGCAAATTTTCTCTCCACATTCATGGTCTAGTATCAACTTTAACAAGAGTACTTATAACCAAAGGCATAACGAGTAAAATATTTTCATCATAATAAACAAAATTTGACCCCAAAAATTTAATACTAATAAGCATTTTTTTTTTCTACTTTTACTTCTGCAATAATAAAACTAGTTGCTCCATTTAGCAACCACCAAATAATATTCAAAGTCTATCAAATGTTCGTCATTGATAACCTTTGTACGTATAATCTTATTTCTAATCAAATTTTACTTTATAGAATCACATTATTAATACCTATTATTGATATCCATGATATTGAAACTTCACAATAATTTTCATGTTTACTTCAATTTCTACATCATATGCGTGTAGCACACATGTTTTACGAAAGTTTGATAACTAAAGGCTATAGTGACACAAATAGTCCCTGACAGAATGGCTAACACATTTTGAAAATAGTGTTAGCCATAAACCCTAAACATCAATGAGCTTATGCCTCAAAGGACATATCTCCTCAAATATATTGTAACTCATTTAAAAGTTACTTTAATTGAGCAGAAAAAACCAAACTTCATGATAACCTTAATGGCATCTTTAACAATGGCTAACGCATTTTGAATACACTCTTACGCATTTCATTTAAATTTAAAAAATAATAAATTCATAAGGCAAAGACTTTGGCTTTTTTAATAAATAGATTAAAAATATCTTGGAAGAGAATGTATTAACTATGTAAACTAAATCCATTATATCTTGTAACTATCGCTCTCAAATGCAGTAAGGACTAACAGCCTTAGTTTATTTTTCCTTTTTATTTTAACCAATATTTTTTTAAAAAAAATTATTGTTTACCATGACTTTGGCCTCGTATGGAATAAGATTAAGGAGGTGCAGTGTTTAGGAAACACAAACATTATGATTTTCGGGTAGGGTGTGTTTATTACTAAATAATACTTACAACTGAGAAAGTGAATCGGACGTTGAAAAGACACAAAAAGATGGATGAATTACTTAAATTCTTAATTCAAATTTATATACTAAAAAATTACAAAAAAAAAAAACAATATTCTGGAGGTGCTACTAACTCGTGCCAATTTTCCAAAATGTGACCCCAAAATGTATTTCAGCATTTAGGTGTGGCCAATTTTAATTTAAGCACAAGAGGCAAGATCATTCTCCTTCCCACCCATCTTGCAAAGTTTTGATTAGCTTCTCTTTAACGCCGAAACAAAGCAATACTATTTCTTTTTCATTTTTTCTCCATACAAGAAAGATGGGGTATAAAAAAAATAAATGAACTTAAGGCAATAAGAAATGAAACAAGGGGTAGTACCAGGATATACTGGTACATTCCAATATACACTTTCAGTCTCCATTACAACCGAAAACATACACAGCCAAAGCTGATTACAAACTATTAAAAAGCAAACATTGCTCATGACACTCACAACAAGATGAAAAAAAGACACATTCCGAATACTAATTGGCGGGTGGTGACAAAGTCCACCTCTTCCAACTTAGTACTTTACCCACAAAAATATAGAAAGTCCACCTCTGCTAGCTTGTATTTAGCTGCAGAAGATTCAAAAAGAAACTACTGAAAACTGAAAGAAAAACACCCCAATGATCCAAGAGGGTCCTAAAAAAATTTAGGTCCCACTTGTAGACACAATAAAATTAAAAGGAAGGGCCATTTTAAAACATGCCCTTCTTCGCCTGGTCTCTAAAATCCCAGAAACTGACCCTCTAACTAGTAGCATACTATCTAATAACCTAGTATACTAATGAGCCATACTAAAACATAAACATACTATATTTGTATAGTATTTGTATACGTTAGACTTGAACTTGGAGCAGATCTAGCGGAATTGAGAACCAGTGTAGGTTTGACCAAAGGACCAGCCAGCTGGAGCAACATTGTAGGACACCACACTACGGCCATCACTGGTGGTAACCTTAAAAGACAAGCTTTGACCATTGAGATAGTTGTTGCTTTGCCAGTTCTGACCCCAGTTCCTTGACATTGGCATCCAACCAGTTCTTGACCCTTTGACGGCCACACCATGTACATCCCCAGCACCACCTACGTTTGTTATTAGGACTAAGTTGAAGTAGGAATGTCCATTGATGGTGAATCTTATGCCTCCCCTTCTCCTGCAGGGAATCCTACACAAACCCAACAAAAATATTAGCCTAAAGCTTAGTTGTTACCAAAACTACACATCAAATATGTTGGAAGACAATGTGCATTATTTGCTTACTTTTCTAAGAGATGTACTGATAAAAAAATTATTTTTTTCCTAAAACAAGTTAATCTAAACATGTAGTCATTTTGAAAAAAATCTAGTCAACAACTCCTGCAAGTACAAATGTTGCAAGTTCAAAGCAAAATTTAGCGATATACCTTCTATAAGACACAGGAACAATTCCCGCTTTGTATTGGGCAATGCGTAGGAAGACAGGTTGAGCGAGATCAAAATGTTGAAGAGGAGGGTTACACCAGCCTCCTGCATTGTTGGGTAAGGCATTGTTTGGAGGGCAGAAGTTGGTGGCAGTGACCACAATGGAGCCAGGCAAGCACCACTTGTGGTCATTAGCACACCTAATCTCATAGCAAGAGCCACAGCTCAACCCATTATTGAACAGTGCTGTGCTCAAAGCAGCAGTATTTGTTCCATACCCTTGGCTATAAAGATTCCCATAGCCACAAGCCCCACCTGCACAAACCCCACAAGGAGCAAATCAAAGGGTTACTCTAAGATGCTTCAAGGTCAAAATTTTACAGGGAAAAACTGAAATAAACGGTTAAAAAAATAATTCTTTAAACTGCAGCATAGCTCATACCCATTGTCCCTGATGCATCACTCCCCCCATAGAAGGTAGCATGTGCATTAGTCCACCCTCCACCATAGGCATAAGTAGAGGGGAACATTGTGAGAATACCCATTAAGAGCAACCCAATAATAGCCATTCTCCTGCACCTACATACAAAACAAAACCATTAGACATTCCCTTCCAAGACTAATTCACTTCTTCGGCATTCGAAGGGTGAAAATAGAGCAGAGCAGAAAAGGGCATTACTTTGATATGAGGCGGGGAGCCAAAGGAAGGGCCTAGGGAAGCAGTGTGAAGCAGAAGAGTGAAGAATATGGGAGGGAGTGCCACCTAATTTATAGACCTTGAGGGGTTAGGGGAAAATAGAGTAAGGCCACAGTCATAACTTCAACTAACTCTTTTTTGAACAGTTTGGACCCAAAAAAACCGCTAAGGGTATATAAGTGGGTTACTAAATTAAATGCTTTAAAAACAGTGCAAGTTGGCAAGAGGTCCACTTTTGAAGCTGCAAAGGCTGTTTTTGTGGCTGAAAAACCGTGTGGTCCAGTTTAGGAGCGGGAAAATCTCCAAAATCCATGTGGGCCATAGCGGTTTTGGCTATGATGGTTAGCAACCTTCCATGGACACATGCAATGCGAGCTTTAGCATCAACCATTTGCCTCAGACACCCTTTTGCTTTCCAAGTTAACTTCTCGTTGCTCCAAATTCCCTATGATTTTCTTCTTTGCTTTCTTTCAAAATAATAATAGTTATTTTATGGGTTTAAATTGGTTATTATTTCATAAATTAAACAATAATAATTAATGTTTTATCTTTTCTGATATTTTTATTAAATAAAATAAGAAAATAAATTAGTATTTTTGAAAAATTAAAGTATTCATCTTAGTACATAACTTTAAAATAAACATTTTTTAATAATAAAATAACAAGGGGAGTAGTATTATTATTTCTTTCCCTTTCAACAATGTCTCCTTCACTATTTTTGCTTTTCTGATTCTCTCTCTCTCTAACTTTTTAGAACAGACAGCGGCAGAAGCACAATTCGGACCGCAAGTGAAATGGTCGGAACTCAGAAGGTTGGTAAAGTTATGAACGAAATTTTTTGTTTTAATTTTCCCCAAGTCAATAACTTTTCAATTTTTTTCTTTTTGTTGATAAAATTAGTTTAATTTTTGTTTGTTTTTATAAAAATTGGGTACATAAAACAATCTTAAAATTTCGTTTTTGAGTACCTTTGATATACAGTATACAACATATATATATATATATATATATATATAGTATATTGTTAAGTAGTTACGATAAGATTTGAATTTTTTAAAAGTAAGATTTTGTTAGTTTTAACTTTTTATAAGGTTAAGTCTAAACAAATAATAATAATAATTTTATTCAAAAATATTGATTATATTAAAAATACAAAACTGTTTAAATTTCGAATAATAAATACATACACTTTTTCTAAAATTTATTTTGCAAAACGATAATAAAATATTAAAAAGCAGTAAAGCTATTAAATGTGTTATAACAGCAGAAGCGAATATTGTAAAATTAATAGCACCAACCAATTTTAACCATACACCATAAATATCATAGGTTAGCGGGTAATAAACAATACGGCCCCTGTTAGAGGCTCGGGCAGTGTCCTCTAGCTATGTTGATGGAGGGTCACTGTGAATCTGAACATGTCTTGTTACTGTTACGACTCTTATACCAAAAGTACTTGTTCTACATCACTGCAGAGAAATTAATGCAAGGAAGGCTACACCACAAAGCACGTGGTTTATGACATTTTGAGTCAGTCGGAGAAAACTCTCTTGGTTGAAATTTCTTGCCACTTTTTTTGCTAATCAATATTCGTTCATTTATGAAATCCCCCAACTGTGTCCATATTGGTGTATGTTTTTCTATCTCGCTTTGGCCAGCTGGATTTTGAAATATCTGCGAAGCAAATCCTGAATCTTCGTTGATAAGATCTGCATGGAAAACGATAAGACCGTGATTCTCGGCATTTAATCATTATTATTACAACTAAAGATTTGTTGCATGTCCAACACTCACTACTCTGTACTAGTAGTATTTTAAATAATAATAATAATAATAATAGGCAAATACATAAAAATACTTAGCCTATTCGTTAAAGAATAAAAATAAAAAAATGCTATAATAATATAATGCATATATTCTTTTTTATAATTTGTAATGCAGTTTAATATTATTTTTTATTTTTTAATTAGTATTTTGAATGCATTGATTAGTAGAATTTATAATGTTAAGATATAAATATGTTTTTATTTTTATTTAAAATTTAATTTAAATATATTAACAATGTAAAAACTATATACTATCATCATTATCATATTAGCAAAAACTATTTATTTTTATAATAATTAATATGAAAATCATATTTGTAGTGTATTCTAATTTATTCATAGTATAAAATTATTTACATTGACAATGTACGAGTATTTAATTTTAGTTTTTATATTTTTTTCTTATGATTTTGCTCTTCATATATGTGTAATTTAGGTATTTTGATCTCTTTCACTAACATAGTCACATATATAATCAACACAATTATCTTTTTAATTAGTCAGGTTATCATTTATTAAAATTTATTAAAAAAATCATATTCTAAATAAAATAAAGACTAAAATCATTAAAAAAATTAAAAACTCAAATAGTTAAAAATCAAAATATATTTAAACATGATGATTATTGCAAAAAAAGAATACTTTTTAAAATAATAGAAGTATAAAAATATATATTAATAAACCTACTTATCATTGTATGTTATGGGGAAATTGTTACTTATCCCGTACATTTATTTCTCTAACAACTTGTAATTATAAATTTTGTTACTCTTCTCACTAAAAGAAAATTTTTATAAAGCTAGCATGTTTTGTTTACATTGGATCGACAATTTTAAATTAAAATAAATTACAAATAATGGACATTAATAATGAATATTTAATTATATTAAATTGAGGAAATAATTAATTATTAAAATCAAAAGACATTATCTTTATTAATATAATGTATCAAAATTTTAAATTAAAATTGATTAAGATTGTAATAATCTTGTATTTTAATTTATTCAAAATATAAAATTATCTTTAATTTGATATAATGTATCGATAATCATTTCTAAGATCTCAAAATAATAAAATCTAGGACTTCCCTTTCATCCAAAACACCATTGGAAAACACAATTCTATTTCTATGTAACCACAAAGATCACACTATACTTATCCAAACAATTAATTATTAAAATCAAAAGACATTATCTTTATTAATATAATGTATCAAAATTTTAAATTAAAATTGATTAAGATTGTAATAATCTTGTATTTTAATTTATTCAAAATATAAAATTATCTTTAATTTGATATAATGTATCGATAATCATTTCTAAGATCTCAAAATAATAAAATCTAGGACTTCCCTTTCATCCAAAACACCATTGGAAAACACAATTCTATTTCTATGTAACCACAAAGATCACACTATACTTATCCAAACAATTAATAAACACATCTCTTATCTTTTATTACAACTAATATCAACCCAAGAAAGTAAATGAGTCGATAAATCTAAAACAAAGTAAGTGAGAATCTAAGTCAATGTGCAGTAAAGTACCAGATTTAGGATGAAACTAAGCATGGTAAGAACAAATGAGTTGGAAGTTCCTCCCAACCATGACAGAAGCAACAAGTTATTTCATCAATTTGAACACTACGATCAATCAGTAAACCTTTATAAGGAAGTGCATTCAACAATTGCCAAATAAATACCAAACACTTAAGAGGAACCTTCCCTCTCTATAGCCTTTGCAAGGCGTCCTTTGTACACTGATCTACACTATTAGAACCACTAAAAAGTTTAAATAGTTATGAATACCGAAATTGCACTAAATAACAACATAAAGAATCTGTCCTTCATACCTATTTATTTTCTTGTAGTACCTTAATAGAAATTCCATCCACAAACTCCAACAAAAAATTAAAGCTTAAGATTCCATGTTAAAAGAGTCATCTTCATAGAATCATTGCACTAATATGCCTACAAAATAATGAAGCTAACTTAGGCTTTTCAAGGAAAATTTTATGATTGTTTGAGGTTGAAGATAAACGAAGTTAGAGTAACATCTAATAGTAAAATATCTTTCACATACATAAGATGTAGCGAGATACTACGTTTGTATTTGTAATACTAAAACCAGGTTTTGATACCACTACCAACATCATAGGAAATTATAAGATTATATTGTGAATGTACCAAAATTAAAATTTAATCTTAGAATTTGAATTTTAGTTTGAAATCCAATTTAACTAGAACTCGATGCCAATGATTGTATGACTTCTTATAAAACTAGACCTACCAATCTAGCAAATTTAATTCAAGTCATATTAAGAATGAACCATATAAATCTCTCATACCTTAATAGGATTTTTGTTATTGTCTTAACAACCAAGTTAGAAAACACTACAATGCCACTATATGGAGATCCTAGTCCTCAAGTAGAAACATATAAGAGGAATGATATGAGAAAAAATCGTAATCTTCCTGCAAGCTGCTGCAAGAAAAAGAGAATTTTATTTGTAAAATTATGATATAAATAATTTGATTGTGTAATCAATTTATTGTTGATAATTTGCAACCTTTACTACATTGATCATAATTCTAAGTATAATCTAGTTCTAGATAAAGATTATTATAATATTAAAAATTTGAAAATTTAAATTTATAATATATTTTTAATAATTTAATTTTAGTTTCAATTGTTTATAGGTTTTAATTTTTATATTAAATATTAAAATCAAGCTACAAACTAGATATGCTTATCATTATATATGTGTTACGACTTTGGTGTATGTAAATGACATCCTACTAAATGCTCAAGCATGATATTACTATTAAGATGGCTTGAAGGATTAGGTCTTATAAGCGATTACAAGACATGTTTTATGATGTCTGATAAAGACCTATAAATAACTCATAAGTCATGACTAAATGATGTCACTCTCAATGAGTAGATAATATTAGGCCAATTACTTGACCTTTAACAATAGGTCAAATAAAGGGAAAGATAAATCGGACCTCACAAAAAAGGTAAGTTGCTACACATTTATAGGTCAAGCATCACGAGGGGATTCAAAAGTGTTTGATAAATCTTTAACCTTTTTACATTTAGTATATTATTAAATGTTTATTTACTACATTTTAACTATGGCAAATATTACAATTTTTATGACTGTATTATACACATATGTGCAAGTAAGGGAGTTAAATTGCCCGACCAGAGGAGAGTTGTTTAAGGATATTCACACTCGAAAGGTGAGCTACGAGAGGAGTTCGGAGAGGTCTAGGTAGATTCTTGCTCCGATACCTAT